CTTGTGCAGAATGCAATGATTCAAGGCTTACAGTGCAGCATTTTTGGGCAAGGTAGGCTCATGGTAACATCAGATTCTCTGGAATCTTTTAAAAATGATGAATACAACCAACATCCAAGAACAAAATAATAGACCTTTGCCACCATAATTGCTAAACAGAAGTCTGTCCAATTCAGAGTAGTGATATACACCAAGTTTGTAGTTAAAAGCCAGAATGAAGGGTATACATTTTCTGAACCACATGCTGAACTAAGCTTAACTTACTTATTATCCTAAGCTCTAAACCAATTCTAATGGGTTAAGTATAAAAATTTGAAGATGTACATTCTAACGAGCCAAGACAGAATCAATTTTGTAAAACTGAATCATGTACTAATTGAAATATCAAAATTTGCTTAGAATCAAACTTAAACCATAGCTTGAGGATTCAACTCTAATTAGGTTAAAACAAAAGGAAATAAAGAACTCACAATCAGCCAATAGTGATGATGATCGTGATCATGAACATGATCCTACTGTACTTCCTGGTACTTGATTCCCAGAATAATGACATATATCTGTGTACCGAGGGTGCACTGATCCTGGGTTCCCCTTGCAATGATCTCAGTATCTTCTAACTGGATAACCTTCCGACTGGTGTGGGCTCTGAGAAATGCATTGGGCTGCAGATCACAGGGGAAGACTAGGTCCCACAAAGGAAAGCAGAAAGTAGATAATTAACTTGTTCAACTATGTAATTATTAATTGTATTATTAGTATATTAGCCAGAGATTATACCTGTGTGTGTGTGTGTGTGTGTGTGTGTGTGAGAGAGAGAGAGAGAGAGACAGAGAGAGAGAGAGAGAGAGATCAGTATGTAGGCATTGTTATATGTGCCCATGTTTTAATAATATAAGTAATTAGCAACTTAAATTTATTCATTTTGTTGGAATATGGTCTTTAGATCCTGAGAATCCTTAGAGGGAAATAAAAATGTGGGCCCCTTCCGCCACCAGTGGGACCAGTGCAGAGTGAGGTATTTGTGTTGCTGAAAAATATAGAAGTAAGGGAATAAAAATCACATGCCTAGAGTGACATGGAAATTGGGGGCCTGGGACAGTCTTTCCAGGAAAGAAGAGGAAGGTTTGGGAAAGTGGGAAGGTCGGGAGATGTAGACCCGGAGCAGTAATTTGGCAGATCTTCCCGGAGAAGGTGAAGACACTAGTGAGAGAAATAAAGGGGGTTTACTCCATGCAGAGTTTGACAATGGCTCAGATTTTCAGAGATGTGACAAACCATGATCACTTGGCCACAGGCCTCAGTTTTCCGTGGTTTCAGATTTACTCATCTGAGAAACATGGGAGTTCCTAGCCATGGCGAAGGAACAAACCAGGTGATCCCCGAAAGAATGAGTTGCTGATTCAGACGCTGAAGAAAGAAAGGCCTGTGCAGTTTCCTGGCTCCTGCTCCTTCCGCATTTCTGGCCTCACTTCTCTTCTCCCCTGAGTAAGACTCAAAGCCTGCCCGGCCTGCTTGGCGGCCTTCACAGTTCTCCACTGGGAAACTCCTCTAAGGAGCCGAATCAGATCCACTCAGATCTAAGGAAGAAAGTGAGTTCCTGCAGGCACAACACCTTCGGAGCTTTCTTGCCAGCAACATGGTTTGAGGCGTGGCCTCTATGCGGACCGCACATTTAAAATGTCAGCCCGCGTGGGAATGATTCCTTCCAGTTAGCCTGGCCCCACACTGAAGAGTTTAACTTGGATTCTGTTTCTCTCATTTCATCTCTCTTCCCGTTGTCCTACTTTCCCCTGTGGCTGAGAGCTGTTTTTCCATTCATTTGCAGACATGTGAGGCATCTCACTCCCCCGTTTTCCCTACCCCACGCTTCCACACATCTGGAAGAGCCATGTTCACATCTGGAGACCATTCTCATCTGGAAGATTTCTTTCGACATTCTTTTCTTTGAAACTCAATCCATGTCACCTCTTGTTCAAAAGGGCCTCTGAACTACTGGAATCATTTGCAGAAGCTCAGGAAAATGTCCTTAGTTTCATCCCTACATGATGGAATTTGTGACTCACCCCAAACCCAACATTATGTTTCTGATTGCTTTTTCTTTTCATAATACTTACTTTTCTGAGCTTCATGTTGAAAAGTCCTGGAAGCCCTAGCCTAGGCCACGTACAAAAAGAAGGTAGAAAGTGAGATATTCAGCAATCACAATGGTAAGTCCGGTGCTAAGTTCTGTGAACTTGAACACAATAGTCATTTTTTCATCAATAAAATTGAGATTCATTGTTTAAAATGTGATTAATAACCCTGCTTTGTTATCCCATGGGACTGTGCCAGGATACATTAAAGTGAGATAACATCTCTGCACACGCCTGGTCCCACACCTAGGTAAGGTCAGGATTGATGAAGAAATTGGGGGGGGGGGGCTCTTGTCAGGCTGAGACAGTCTCTGCATTTGCACACCCCCTTCTCCGTAAGTCCACGGAAGGCTGTGACTGTGATGCACCACTGGGCAGGGAAAAGGCAGAAGTCTCTGGAAAACAGGAGTCCTGCTGTCAGCCACATGCTCTCATTCTAATCAAGGGGACAGTAGAGCATTTTATCAGTGGTTCTCAAATTTAATGTGCATAAAAATCACCTGCTCGTTCTGACAAAATGCAGATCCTGGTTCAGCGGGTCTGGGGTGATGCCTATGCTGCTAGTCCCCATGTTTTGATTCACAGGGTGCTAAGGAAGCAGATCTCCAACCCCAAAATCAGCCTCTGCTAACCAGTGAATTTGTCATTGTTGCAGTGTCAAATCTCAACCTCAAGCACAGTCAGTGGAAGGAAAGGCAGAGAGGGAAATAAAATTCACATTCCTAAAATGCACAAAGACTTGTTCAGCTCAACTTTGACCCTCTCCTTCCAGAAGGCAAGAGCCACAAGGCCTCTTGGGTGTGAAGGGAAAACTAACTGCCCTACTTCAATTCACCTCATTCTCCGACTGCAAGTACTTCCCCTCAGAGTCAGGTTCACGCCTGGTGGAGAGAGTGCCACAGCTATGAAAGGCTGCCTTTGACCTTCAGCAAGTTGCCCAACTCCCATCTAGGAAGCTGCTACAAGAGGGAGAAACACCAACGGTTTTTCCACTGGACACTGCCAGCCAGCCTCCCTTGCCCCTGAGCTATGTTGCCTGGCAACCAGAAGGCAGGAGAAAGGTAGGGATGGAAGTAGGTAAAAAGGCAGGGAGGAACTAATAGTAAAAGGAGAGACAGGGCTAAAGCCACCTGAGGGCTCCTGGTCACACAGACACACACACCCCGCAGGGTGGAACGTTAATAAGCTTCAGAGAGGACAGTGGGTGTGAACCTAGAAAGCAGGAGGCCAGAAGTTTACATTCATTTTTTCCATTTTATTATTTTAAAAATACTAATAATAAAAGGAGGAGGGGAAAGAATCCTACTTCTTAGATGAGCTGGCAAGACAGGAGGAAAAAATTGGAAAACGCCTTATAAAAACTAAGGGAATCATTAAAGGGTGTCTAGGGGAGGTGGGGAGAAGTTGGTAAAAATCTTGTACTAAAAACTAAAACATGCCTTGAAAAGTGGCCAAAAAATAGTTTATAGTAAGGTTTAAAAAGCTGACACGAGACGCCGCCCAGGCGTGGGCTCCTAGTGGCTCCCGAATAAGGAGGAGGGGTGATTCCACATGGCCCATCTGTGGCCACCCACCCACTGCCCCATCAGGGAGCCCCTGAGCAGTGGCCACTCCAGCCAACAGGAGGGAACCGGACAGCAGACTGCAGTCCCGGGAAGCAGCTAGGGTGGCAGGAAGACTTTTGACTCCAGTCACAGTTCTGGAATTTCAGTTTCCTCACAGTTCGGCTGAAAGTCTTAATTCGGGCCCATAAGTGTCTCTTCCATTGTCACTGCTCCTGCTCTGCCCTCCTGCTTCCTGTCGTCCCCACACTCCAAACCCTACTTCGTATTGCCATAAGGATGAGCCTTCTAGAACACAGATGGAACCACGCTGCTCAAAAGTTTTCATAGTTCCCCGTTGCCAACAAAGGAAATTCCAAACTTCTTAGCGTGGCATTCGATGCTTGCCACAGCCTTGCTCTCGTCTACTGTGCCAGAGTCATCTCCAGCTACTCCTACCAACCCCCAACCACCCTACAGGCCAATCACTCTCAATCATACTGTTCCCCACCAAGCCATGAAATTTTTCCTCTTCTGTGCCTTTGCACATTGCTGTAATTACTCATTTGGTTTTTCTTCCAAACAAGCTCTATTTACCATTTTTAAAAATACACAGAAATAAGATTTAAAATTTTTCAGAGTAACACGTGCACCTAATTTAACTTTTTTTAAAGGTGAAGAAGACTTAAAATGCAAAGAAACAATCTCTTGCTTTCCTCTTCCCCCTCCCCATGGCCCCTCCATCAAGGAAATCATCTTTCACTCTTTAAATCTTCTCTTTGGGTGGGTACTTTCATTTTTCTAGGAACTATTTTCTAATTTCTGTACAGTTATTTCTTTTTTTTTTTTTTTTTTTTTTTTTTT